AAGCTTAAAGAGATAGGGGACTTATTTCTTTACTGCAAATAACGTGTTCAGTAATTTCTCTTTCCTGAGTCTGCATTTCTGATGGAAATAGTTTACAACAATGAGCATGAGAAAACAGAAGGGATGTGTGCAAGACCAATTTGAATCTAATAGAAGGGATAAATGAAAGGTACAGGGGTTAGAAGAAAGGTAGAAAATCCCAGGAGGCAGAGGAGTAGTGGAGTGTTTACAGCAAGCGATGGAGCATCAGATTTCCTGCATTCTGCCTTCACGTTTATAGCAGTGATCTGGGGCTACACAGCCTCCGTCATATGAAACAGACCTTGCAGTATCATTTTGTGCAAAATCTATCATTCTGAGCTATCCCACTGTATAAAAATTACCTTTTAAGTGGCTAAGTAGACACCCAGCTTTATTCCTTTCTTCTTATTTCAAGAAACAATGGGAGTAACAGCACTTGCCTGCCTTATAGAGTGCTGAGAGCTTTAATTAATGTCTCTAATTCAATTTGAACTCCTTGGATAAAAGGCACTGCCTTGTGACAGCAAAGGTATTGCCTAAAATAGAATATAATTAACACACAGATATCAATCACGATGAAATTAAGTGTACATTCAAATACAACTTGCACTTTACAGAAAGTACTTGCCCATTTTTCCTCCAAGAATCCTGAAGAGTCATAAGACAAGGAACATTTAATGTTCCAGGCTGAATTCAGCTTAGAATAAGGCCATCTTAAACCGCCTAACAAACTAAAAGGGGTTGTAACAGAAATCTCCATTTGCACTGATGGATGTACCTTCATGACGGACAATGCTGGAAACTGACTGTAACGTGACTCAGAATCAGTACATCTAACATTTTCTTCTCCCAGTACTTATTTACTGTACTCTAGCCTATGTCCTAGCTCACCCACCGACCATGTTTATTAACAGATGTGTCAACTGCATGATCATGTTTGTTGAGATGAATCAGAAGGACCCAGATCACTGTGTTGCTCTGTAGTGCTCCTGAGTGGAAATGGGCTTTGTAGCTTGGATTTTTTTTTTAACTGCTGCATTACAGAGCTTGCTGACACCATGAGATGGTTGTCATTCATTGCTTATAGGACAGGAACATCTAGTGAGCCATGTGGCAGCAGGACTGCGTTTTGCTAGGTGCTATCTCCAACAAGTTCATGGTCCAAGTAGTCAAACAAATACTAATGTGTCTCCATGCTGATAATTGGAAAGTGAGGCAAAAAAGCATGTAAGGGCACTGCCCAAGATCATAGAGGGTGTCTGGGGCCGAGTTGAGCAGAATGTGGGATTCCTGGATCAAAACCCAGAGTCTGACTCCCCCAAGCCTCCCCTTTAGCGCAGAGATTGCTTCTGTGCCAGATTTAGCTTTTAGTTAGTCTTGGGTCTCCTACCCAAAGGCTACATACTTGGAGACATGGCCTCCCTGCCCCTTCTTCCCCTGTCCCTTTTGCAAAATCCCCAGAACATATCTTACATCAGTGGAGCCCCATAAAGACACCTAACAAATTAATTTCAGATTCAAACTTGTTAGGAGTGAGATTGAATGCACCTCACAATATTGCCTTAGACACAAAATAATCCCACTTTAGTAAGCTTTATAGCTTCCATGGGGACCAGCCCCGTGGTGTGTATTAATCTTTAATGCAAAACAACATCTCTACAGCAGCTACAGGGAGGAAAAAGATACTACTAAAAAATTAAAGTTGATGGTGTGATAGTTGTCTAGACCCAATTGCACTCTGCCATCTTCCATTGCCTCAGGCACCATTCCCTGCTCTCAGCACTGATACTCACAGCCAGCTACCAGGCTGGAGAAGTGTCCATTTCTTCTAGTGATCTCAAGGCATGTTCTCCCCATGTCTTAACCCTTGGTTAAGACCCATCACAACTCTAATCATCCTGACTCTAACTTTGACCGGAAAGAAAAGGAAGGGAAGATGAAGAGGTGCGTGGGGGGAATTTATAAGCTGATATTTCCCCAATGTATGATGCTTGCATGTGGGAGGACACACTGGGATTTCTTTGAAACCCATTTCTTTTGGTTCTTCTCATATTTAAGTTCACACTTGCAATGTGCTGGGAACTGGAGGTGAGCTATCACTCCACTTTGGTATGTAAAAGCTCCCTTCCTCTCTTTGCAATAGAAATACAATAGAAAGTGAAACGTTTAAAGGAAAACTGATCCAGGCTGGCTGATGAAGGAAGCAGTTATGGATGAGTTTAATGAACAGGCAACCAAGCGAGTTTGGACAATGTGTACAGAACAACTGATCGTTATCATCAGCAAATCTGCATACCCATCTAATGGCAAATATGCTGAGTTTGCAGCTGCTTACTGTGATGGGACGGTGTAGATACGCAAAGAGCAGCAAGGCAGAGAAGCAACCTGGATGGAGAAGCAGGAGAAATGAACTCCTGAACTGGAATTTGGAAATGCCGAGGGTGGGATGTAGCTGGGAGCATTTCCCAGTAATCACCTGGAGTTCATGAACACTGTGTACAGTACAAAGCTGTACTGTAGCCCACTTGGAATATACTGTATTCCCCTCAATGTGGGGCTAGAAACTCCCCAAAGCCCAGTTTTGTAAGGTAAAATAGAAACACTCCTTTCTGAGAGGCGAGGGACTAAAGCACCAAGAACTGCCACATTTATGGATGAAGTAGGAGTCAGTGCTGAAGGCTAATATTAAACACATGCCTCCAGAACAGGAACAACCTCCTCAGTCAGGAGCTACAGGTACCATTAGGTTTAATAACAGTAATATTCTATCTGCAATTGGAAAGAAGTTTGTATGTGCCCAACAGAAAAAGCGAACATTCGTTGACTTTCCCATACTTAATTTTTTTTCATTTCTTCATGTAATACAACAGCTAACTGTCATTTTTAACCAGACTTACACAACTCTGTTTTGTCAAGTGCTGCTGAGCTCACTGCAGCTCCACAAGCACATGCTGTGCACACGTGCAGACTCCCACACACTCCAGCGTGCACACACACTTGGCACTTGTGCTCCCCGTCGCACTCCAGGGTTCAATCCGCCCGCGCAGAAGCCATGCACGCTCGCTGCCACAGGCTGCAGCTTTGTCATGCGTCCGGTGAAGGCTCCTGGAGCTGAGGAGATGGCCACACTGGCCACAAATGCTGATGCCCTCTGGTCTATGCTATGCTGCTCACACCAGCCAAGGTCTCACGTTCACACGCAGTGCTGCCAACGTGCATGGCACCCCTAGCACACCTCGGCTTGGCCTCTCCTACACTCTTAGCAAAACCTTTACTCTCTGGGAATTACGGACTTTCACAGTACTTATGGTGGACTCAAACTCAAAACCAGAAGGGTTTCTGGAGATGTACAAATAAGCCTGACACTAAATCTCACAGTAGCAGACCTCTGCATAGTCTAATTTCTCCTCCTTTAAAGAGTAGCTACAGTCTCTCTGCTCTATATTCTGCAGACGTAGGTGGGTATCGCCTGTCCTGAGGACAACTTTTGGCCAGGTTTGTGCTCCCAGAGCGGGGGATGCAGCCTCAAGTTTCCTCTGCCTACCTGGGCATGCCCTCCGTTTTGGCACATCCCCCCCAAAACTCAGCAAGGCAGCCAGATGGGCAGGAGGTGGGCAGGAGGAGGAACACGTCCTGTGTATGGAGAGGATTTTTTCAGAGCAGCATCAGCAACTCCCAGCGATGAGGAGCACAACCGTTGCACGCTGGGCTGCTGTTGCAGCCACGTTGTGCTTAGGAAGCAGAAGGGGAGGGGTTCCATGCCAGGCGCAGGGTGCCAGCTAAGCAAGCCGCTCACCTTCCACCAACGGAGCACATGGCTTCGTTCGGAGAGAGGCATCGCGCCAACAGCATGACTGCGGAGGCGGATGATCTAATGGCTGAAACACTGGAAATGGGAGTCAGGAGGCGAGGGCTCTCTTCCAGCTGTATCTGTGGCTTGCTGTGTAACCTTTGGCAAGGCATTTCACCCCTCTGTTTCCCTTCCCACTCATCATATGTCTTGCCTGTTTAGCCGTTAAACACATTGGGGAGAGGACCTGGCTCATAGCAGGGCTGTCCACAGCCATCGTTTGATGAGGGGGTGCGGCAGGACAGCCACTCTCCCATCATGTGAGCAACAGCATGCCCTGCACCAGGTGGTGTGAAGCATCCCCTTAAGCTCCCTAGTAAATCTGTGACACTGAATATGCATGTTCAGTATGTCGCCCTGCAGAGCCTTGATCTTGGAAAGAGCCTTGAGGTCCTGCTGTAATCAAAATAGCAACAGAACCTCACCCCCTCCACCAGACACACACCTCCCAAACACCCAGGCAGGAAAGCAGGTTGAGGTGATTTTTATCTTTCAAAGTTTGGCAGGATTTCAGAGTCATGTGTGTGCGTCCGTGTGTCCGTGTGTCTGCATGTGCTCATCACTGACGCCTGGATAATTATTTTGTTTTATTTCTTTTTTGGCAACACTTTAAAGTAAGAGCTGGGTCTTTATAGATTGCTCAGGTTGCATGGAGTATGGATTACAGATCATCAGGGAGACATGAAAGCAGAAGACACATTTCTCTGGCACAGCATTAAAGGGACAATAATGGGGTAATTGTAGCCTAGGGTGTGGCCACCTTCTGCGCCCAGCCTTCACTCGCCTTTGTGGCACTGTGGAGAGCTTCATGAGGGAAATGGTGGAAAAGCTGGGGTGAGATGTCTCAGGTCAGGACCTGGTTATTTCAAAGGTGATATATGCTCAGAACGTTAAAGGCACCACTTAGGTACATGAATAAAACACTGTCAAATACTCTAAGCTGTAACACAGGCAGACTGAAGTCTTTTAAAACTTGATTTTCCATGTATATTCTCACCCTGAGAGACAGTTGTCAAAGGATCAAAACAATTCCCATTTTAAAACTTTATCTTTCTCTCCCTCCTCTCTCTTTTCTCCTCCATTTCTCTCTCTCTCATTCCTTCTTCCTCTTCCCTCTCTTTTTCAACAGGACTCCACAGAATGGAGCAAGAATGAGAGGAAAAAGGCAGACAGAAAAGCATGAACTGGAGGCTTGTTGAGTTCCTCTACCTCCTGTTTATATGGGACCATATACTAGTACAGCCCTCCCACCAGGACCCAGCTGCTACCAACCAACATGTCTCCAAGGAATTTGATTGGCTTATTTCAGACAGGGGGCCTTTCCACCACTCGCGGAGCTACTTATCCTTTGTGGAAAGACATCGTCAAGGATTTACAACCAGATATAAAATATACAGGTATGTTGGTTTCCTACAGCACCTGTAGCTTGCATAAGTTGTTAGGTGCTGGGAACTCAGGCAGTTCCCATGGGCTCAAGGCTCGTAGTCAATGGGGTGATGCATCATTGTTCCCGTTCCACCTGGAAACGCTTCTTTGGTTCTTCATGGTCCTCAGCTGGCAATGCAAATTGCTACAGACTCAGATGTAATGCTCTGATAGTGAGATGAAGGCACTGAGGTACCATGGCAATGTGCACAACTTAGATCGAGATAAAAAGGGACCAAGGGTCTGGGTGTACTTCATTTGCAGCGACAGATAAGTTCATAAGCAGGTTCACAAGCATGTTTTTCAACTCAATGTACCTATGAGCAGACCAAGCCTCTGTACCAAAGTCAGACATGTGAACTGCCAATAGCTTAAGGTTCACATGGGCAAGAACAGACATAAAGATGTCAAGACACACATCGGTATGGCAGTTCTCACACTGCTATACATAAGCCTTAGCTGTGTACTGCCTTCCACAGATTATCTCCATGTCTGAGTCGGACTTGGCCCCAGAACTGTGATCTTGGTGTAAAAGTCTTCCAAGTAAAAAACTACAGAGAATAGGCAGCATTTGGATTTTCCTTTACCTTCTAGGTTTCGAAGCCTTTGTTGTTGCCTGTTTCAAGCTCTTCTTGCCAGCTGTGATATCCAGAAACACACTTTTCTTTTTTCATTTTAACGTGAAAAGCTGGGGTGCTCATATGAGCCTCCTGTTAAAGCAGCAAGCACTTCAGAGTGAAGGGGAATAAGCCAGCAAGTGTCATGAGATTTGCGCTAAAACCCAAAGAGACTGAAAAACTCTCATAGCCATGTGTGCATTTACATAATTATATAGTCCTGTTGTATTTCAGAAAGACTCTTGTGAACACAACCATGTAAACTAGTAGGTAGGAAAGTACTAGTGAATAGCCTACTGGCAACATGCACGCAGATAACATACACGATGACTGGGGGATGGGGGGAGCAGAGAAACCGCATGTGTGCAGGCAGTGTTCGCCCATGAGCAGAGAGCCAAAAGCACTTGCAGAGTAACAGCGACGTGTGAGACATCATCTATCTATGTGTGGGGAAGAAAAATGAGTTGTGCCTGTCCCATGGCCTCCAGGGAGTGCAGCATCCCCTCCCTTCGCACCAGCCCTCAGAGCAAGGGCAGGTTAGCATGGGTTGTAGATATTGTCCTGGCTTGTCCTCTTCATTCAAAACAGCTCAGGGGGGAAGACAACCCCAAAAACTAGAAATTATGCTGCCACGCTTCCACTAAGGATGTCTCACCATCTTTGCTTGCACAGAGGAGCAGAGAAAACATGTCTTTTTCAAAAAGACTTTCTTCCTGGTTGCAGATTTCCCCAGCTCTCTGTCTGCCCTGCCTGACAACGTACACTCTGATCGAGACTGCAAATCTCTGCCTCACTCAATGCCCCTGGCAGTGGCTCTGCCCTTTGCTAAAGAGCTATTCAGCCCTGAATGCTACTGCAGCAGTCTACAGGGGCTGTAGTGGGAGAGAAATGCATGCAATGTATGTATTCAGACACATCTAAGAACTGTCACTGTAGGTCAGGCCAGAGATCCATCAAGCCTGGGATCCTGTCTCTAAGAATCATGGAGAAACAGGTCTGGAAGGACCTTGAGAGGTCATTTAATCCATGCCTCTTCCCCAAGGCAGACTCAGACATACCTGTGTCACAGCTGACAGAGGTTTGTGGGCAACCTCTCCTGCAAGGTTTCCCGTGATGGGGAATTCACACCCAGAGCAGGCAGCCTGCGCCACGGCTTTGCTGTCCCAACCTTTATAAAGGAGCTAAAACCTTCCTTGTATGGGAAGCCTGCAATTTCTTGTTTTATCTGTGTCGTGGTTTAATCTCAGTCGGCAACTAAGCACCACGCAGCCGCTCGCTCACTCCCCCC